ATTTTCTAAAATATATTTGAAAATAAAATAGTTACTCAGATTGAACATGCCGTCGGAGTTCTCGATGTCATGGTGTGAACTCAAAATCGACAGCTGAAGTTCGACATAATTTTGGAAAACCATCCAGTAACAACAAAAATTTCGTCACAGAATCTCAGCTTTAATTATTCCTCATGAAGAACATTTGTATCATACATTACTCGTAAAAGATTTCCTTCAATTAAAATGACGAAGTCGAACAAAGTCGACTCCAAGCAAACGAAATAACATCAGCTATAGTAGATCAAGAAGGAGAAGATCCAAGGAAGAAATCAGATGATTGACCAGCTATAGTAGATCAAGAAGGAGAAGATCCAAGGATGAAATCAGATGATTAACCTATTGTGGGCATGTGGATTTCTGGGAAGTTTGCACACTGAAATTTAATGCTTGGTAGCTATAGGCTATAGCAGCCAATTAATTTAATGTTTGGACCAAGTCAGTATTGTTCAGTAACGTGTGGGTGTGCATAGATGAACATTGGACACTGTTGATTAATGTGAAAATTCTGCATTCCCGTTACAACCCACATGGTAGAAGAAAACATCTAATGCACCAATTATTGTGATTCATTCTCTTGCCGACAAAATGTCACACAAGTTTAAGCAAACAAAATTTCCCTCTTGTACTAGTTTTTCTAACAATAAATGAGCAAGGCAACAAAATCAAACCTTACATCTAGGGGTAGCTAGGGATGGTTAATGGTCATTTTGACAAGACTTTTGAAAAGTTAAAAAGTTATTTCTGAACATGTTTGAATAATTTTTTAAGAATGTTACTACTAGAGAAATATATCCTAAAAATGTGCTTCTACAAGAAGTAGAAGCAAAATCACAAAACTCCCATGAAGACTCAGTAAGAAAGAAATGAGTTTAAGCAAACAAGTGATCGACATTGGCTCGGATTCATGACTTATGAAAAGATTCAGATATATCTTCTTAAACCCTCTGCCTTCTGAAATGATGAATTTTCGGCATTCTCCTTCAATGTTACAAGAAAGCTCGATACAAGATTCAGGCCAACTTTGCATGTTGGAATGAGCACGATTAAATAGGAATACAGTCAACTTCGATCTAGTTCAAGTGTGGTCTAGTTCAAAGTAGGCAGTCACACCATTTCATGCAGGTTCAAGGGTACTCACTACTTTGGAAATCATATCTATTTCATCCTATGAAGATATATCAACTCAACACTAACCCATGTTTGGCTAAGATTAAAAGTAACATAAATAACTTTTATGTAAATTTTGTTCATTCTTGTAGATAGGAAAAAGTTGCTTATTTTAACAGTAAAGCAAATGTTGGCATACGTTCAAAATAAGTACTTATTTCTAACTTAACCAACCAAACACATATTTGGGCAAATGATCAATATACAAATGATCAAAAAAAGTTCAAGAACTTTCAATCCTCCAGAATGGACAAGAAAAGAACAATAATAATAGAAACTTCAACACCATACCAAATTTATAAAGTCAACTAACACATTAAGTGATTGTACGTTATAAAAAGTGTGACCAACTAATTGAAAAGGGCATGGAAATCAGAGAGGATAAGATAATCAATGTAATTGATTAAGATAGCATTTATTGAACATGTGATCATGATGTAGTGTCAATTCAATAGGGCAGTTGAAGGAACAGCAGTAAACGCATACTTGGATGAGCATAATCCGATATACGACTTCGTCTTCTACTGCATGGATGACAAGTTGGCACCTCAAGCCCCACTTTTCGACAGGCAAAACCTTGCTGGGATCAATTTCCGAATGAATGTGGACCTCATGCTGCGTGTCCTCGATTTTGACATGGTTTAGCAAGAATATACGGACATGTTGATAATGTTGAATTTTTCATGAAACTTAAACTTTATAAAATATTATGAATTGTCAAGATCTTCGTATCAATTAAATTCCGTCACTAAAGACGGAAATTTCCATCGCTGAAGCCTTAAATTCCGTCGATAAAGACTTTCACAAACAGATTTTATTCGTCGGTAAAATCCGTCTGTAAAACGCCCACCGGTAATTTTACCGACAAAACTCTTTGTTGTCGGTAATTAGCGACGAAATACTCCGTTGGTAATTAGCAACGAAATATTCCGTCGGTGTTTAGCGACAGATAAAATTGTAGCTAATACAATTTTTCCGTCGACAATTTGGAAAATAAAAAAAAATGAATATATATATATATATATATAATGCTACATTCAATTTTTAATGTAAAGACTAAGTAACAAGTGTTGAAATTAGGTCACACACTGCACTGAGCGACATGGAATTGAAATTTTAGCATTTGTATCCCCACGACACTGGTCACAAGTCACATTTTTAAACAATTATACATTTCTAACCAATACAGTTGTAAGTTGAATAGTCACACTAGGTCACTGCAAGTGAATTTGTAGTTCGGCTCCTAAACATTTGAAAATTACTAAACTAGCCCAAATAATTTTCTAGCAACTCATGACCATACCTCTCATTAATAACAATTATGAAATCGTATTCCAAGCATGATAAAATATCACAAACAAATATTCAAACATAAAAATTTGAGATATTACAACTATACCACAACCCAATCTGACATAAATCAAAAACAACCTTACGAACCGTCAATCATCATCGTCAGCCATCATAATCCGTCCATCATTCGCTGTCATTATATTACGAACACATAATATGGTACACTTATTATTAATCACTTGGCTGCTATACCATCCGTCGAATACAATTTCCGTGTTGCTTTTAGCCGAATTTACCATTTCTTTATCTAATTGTATCATTTAGTTATTTGTTTTTAAATATATATGTTGGAGTTTCAATGGTATTTTTCATATTTCAAGTTGTCATTTTATTATCATTTGATAAAGAAAATAAAGAATACATCATTCTCAAATTAATTTTTTACCAGTATTTTCTTGTTTAATATAAATATAATAAAATTGGACGAATAATATAAAATTACAAAAGTCATATTTCTATTTATTTCTCTTATTTTTTCTTCAAATTTTTCACATCACTAAGCAATCACGTACATTTAAAGCAGGATAATTGATTTTTTTGCCCTTCTAAAAAATTGAATTGATACAACTATAATGAAATATTTAGTACGCTAAATTAATATTATTAAATAAAGGTTCATGACCATTTGCATTTTTTTCTGACTAGGGACCTACTTATTTTTCCTATTTGAAAATGAGAGGATAGTGGTCCTTTTTTTAATATTTGCACACCAACAACCCATTTGGACCTCATTATTCCCTATCAAATTATAATTTATTTTTATTTTTCTTCTTATCAATCACACATTCTCCAATAAAATAATATTACACATAAATTCGAAAACTTTCCATTCTTTTTAGTCGCACATTTTTCAAAAAATTACTATTCTCCTCATTTAAAAGTGACATTATGGAGGCCAAACAGGGGCTATATAAATGGTGTTACATGAAAGGACAGGGGGATTCTTGGGATGGTGATACCAAATTGTAATAAGGAGTAGGAGCCTTGTTTAAGGCAACCAATACTGTTCCTTGATTAGTTATCTGCACCTATTATTTGACCATGTGCGCTGAACAATTTTATCAGCCTATTGAGTTATAACTTCCCTCTCTAGTATCCTTGACTGAATCTACTCTCAAANGTTTAAAAGATACTAATCAGGCAAAACCTCTTGCCAATAAATTTTCCAATTTCACAACTCATCTATTTCAAAATTGACCGTTTTAAATCTCACAGGTGATATAAATTGCATGACGGTTTACTTTGGAGGGTTCCATTGTAAAGTAAACTAGAAAATATACACTGTGTACCATTGTACAAGTGGTGTTTCCCTGGAGGCAAACCCAGACACCTGGCTCAGCTGTCCCAGAAATCTGCATGGCTGAAAAGATGAAAGCTGTGCCTGCCATCACATTCATATCTCAACTCACAAAATCCGAACGAGTTTTTAGTTGTATGTTTGTTATTTGTAACGCTGCCAACAATTTCTCCTCCACCTCTACATTAATCTTATTGTTATGTATATATGTGGTTACATAAATCTTGCTGTGAATATTTATCAAGATATTTTCTCTGTCTTTCTTGACCACACCCTCTCAAAATATCCTCTTTTGCCCACTTGCCTGCTCCAAGAAATATTTATATATGAAAGGTGGGCTTGTTGTGTAGTGTGATTCTGAAGATGGAATCATCTCAAGAGAATATCATTTCGAGAAACAATTTGGTAAACCCCGTTTCTTGATTTCCATTTTAATGCTTGCCCATATATATTCTTGAACTTCTCAGAATTTTTTTTTAATGTTAAATTGTTGTATTTTTTCTTTTTCTTTATTGACTTATGTTGTAACTCCGTTTAAATTGATTGTAAGTTTTGGGTTTTAAGAGAGTGTAAAATCTCATCGATGAATTATGCGAACATCAGTACATGGGACCCCCACCCACCGCTCACCCTTAAAAAGCATAAGATTGAAACTTAAAATTTATTGCACAAACATCTTGTGTTTGGCATTTGTTATTTGATCAATCCAGTACGACAAGATATCTGTTTTACTGTTTTAAACCTGCTAACAAGTAATCATCAACTACTAGTTTATGCTAAACACTTGGATTGTTACTGATATCATAGCTTTCTATCTTACTAAGAAGTTATCTGTTTTGGAACTATTGTCTTGAATCTCTTGATGTGTAATTTACGTTGAATTTGATTGATTATCATTCACTGGGTCTTATTGTATACATTGATTACCATTCTCTGTTTCTCAACTCATATGTGTGTTTCTAGTAATTTTTTTTTAAAGTAAAAGATGTTTCATTTTCCATACAAAAGTATGGCGATACTTTTTTTTTTTCTTTTCTTTTCAAGTACGGAGTTATATATTCATGTTTCAGTTCGAACAATAATTTGGATTGATTTTTGTGCCGATGCTTTGGAATGTGCATTATTGTCGACAAGATTACTTATGACATTATCTCTGCAGGAAGAATTACTGATCCCACATATGCCTGAGAGCAACTATAACTATGATCCTCCCATACCCACAAGTAGATTAGAGAGGCTCTTGAGAGAAAGAGAACTAAGAAGGTTCCCTCGGTCTTTTCGTTTTAATGAAGATTTAAGAGACAACAACGGAAAGGTGGATACTTTTGGAAATGGATATTACCCATCTGGTGGTGATAAGGGAGTTCGAGAAGATAATTTATTTGAACAGATTGCTACATCAAAATCCCTGAATGATGGCTTAGAGAGATCAGATGATTGACTCCCTAAACAACATCTATTGGTGGTGGCCAACAGGCTGCCTGTGTCTGCAGTTAGGATGGGTGAAGACTCATGGGCTCTGGAAATAAATGTGGGAGGCCTGGTTAGTGCACTTCTGGGTAAGTATTTGGATGTGATGTTTTGCATTTGGTAGTCAGCCGAAATGCCTTGCCAAATTATGTTAGTGATGTCATTATAAATGTCTAGTGCTCCTTCTATCATTATTCATTACCTAAGAGTTAGGACTTCTATAAAGTGTGAAAGTTTAAGACCCTATTTGTTACGGATTAAAATCAGATTTTAATCTAAGTCAAAATCAAACATTCAGTATTAACCACATCTTTCATGGGTTCCACAACTTTTCAACCTCACATTTCAAAAGCTTTTATCACAATCTACTAAAAATTTAATTCTAATCCACACCAAACACCCATTAAAACTTACTATCCTTTTAAAGGTATCAATGAGTTCGAAGTCAGATGGATTGGATGGGCTGGTATAAATGTTGCTGATGAAGTTGGACAACACTCACTAACTAAAGCTCTGGCTGAAAAGGTTTGTGTTATTTGGTTCCTTGCTATTGGCTCTTTGATTATGAAGTTATAATCGCATCTTCTGCAGCATAATTTTCATTTCATGTCATCGATAATACGGACAAATACCTTCTATCAAAGCATTATAACATTCAATTGATCCATTGACTGCAGAGGTGCATCCCAGTGTTTTTTGATGAAGAAACCGTCCACCAATA